CCCCCTCCTCCCCCTCTCCCATGTCCCCCCGGAACTGTGAGTCCCGTTGTTTTCTCCTCCAGATTGTTCATCCAGCGATAAATCTCTTTCTTATACACATATGTGTGTCCATGGATTTGTTTTTCTAGTTTACCCAGACTAACACAGTGGGGGAGGGAGGGGATAAAAGAGGAGCTGATAACAAGGGCTCAAGTAGAAAGAAAATGTTTTGGAAATGATGACAATATATGTACAAGTGTGTTTAATACAAATGAATTATGGATTGTTATACGCTTTGTAAGAGACCCCCAATAAAATTATTGATGATAATAATAAAAGACTAAAGACTTAATAACCAAAAATACTACATGTTCTTTGACTGGATTAAAAAAAAATTCTAGCAAAGATCTTTTTTGAATAATTGGTGGTGTGCATCTTGATCACAAGCTAGATGATAGGGAATAGTTGATACTGCTCTTATTTGGTGATGGTTTTGGAGACAGGTGGGGAAAATGCTTGCCTGGAACATTTAGGAGTGACATGCCATTTTCAACTGGTTCAGTCAAGAATGTGTACTGTGTGGGCAGAGAAATAAGTTAGCAAAATGTTAATAACTAAAACCCTCTGGGTGTTTTGCAAAACCTCAAACAGAATTACTTTCTGACGCAGCAACTGCACACTTAGTCTTGAAGGCAGGAACTGAGCTACTGGTACACTGATAGTCATTGCAGCATGATTCTCAATAGCCAAAGGAGGGACAGCCCACCCATGTGTCCATCAATAAGATGACTAGATAAACAAACTGTGGTGTGTGTATCCCACTGGAAATTACTCAGTCATAGAGAGCCCCTCGTCCACGTTCCCGGAGTCCTGTCTCGTGGAGTGTCCTCACGCCCTCAAAGGCTCAGCCATCTCTGCCCTCTTGTTGCCTGTGTTGCAGAGTGTCAAGCAGGAGTACTACACTGGCTACCGAGAGAATGAAGTTCTGGAAGTCATGCAGCACATGGCCAAGAACGTAGTGAAAGTGAATGAAAACTTGACGAAGTTCATTGTAAGCACCGTTTTCTTCTGCTGCTGGGGAGCGCCTGGGCTTACGGGTTGCCTTTGTGGGCATTACGGGTTTGGTTGGTTGGTTGGTTGGTTGGTTGGTTGGTTGGTTGGTTTGTATCTTTCTAGGGTAGCGGGGATGGAGTGTGTTGATTAGTCTAAATTTTGGGGCAAGTGAACTTTATCTTTTTTGGGCACAAAGCCGATGGGCGAGTGATGTGTAGGCCTGATTTGTAGTCAGCCAAGCCTGCTGTTGGCCACCATCTGAGCTCCGTCCTCATAGCCGTGTCCTGGGAAGGCTGGCTATGTGGTCAGTAAGAGCAAGGGCACCTCACATGGCTTTGTGGGAGTTTGGTATTCAGGGTCTGTTGCTCTCAGGGTCTCTCTCCAGTGCCCTTTGGGCCAGTGACTGAGAGGCACCTGACTCATGAGCATGGTGAAGATAGCGGGCCAGGAGCCCTCTTTCATAAGATGCACCCAGGGCTGGGTGGCTATTTGTCAGTGGGCCCCCAGAGAGAGTAGGAGACAGGACATGTGCCCCTGTCCTGTGCTTGGTTGTCAGGTGGCCCCAAATAAAGGGTCTGCTGACCAAGTGCCAGGAGTTTGTACCACAGAAGACCCTCAGGTGTCCTCACAGTGGTTCACTCTGTGTGGGCTAGCATGAGTGAGCGCACTGGGGAAGCAGAATGTGTTCTCACACTGAGGGTCTTGTCTGGAGTCTGCTGGGCTCCAGGTGCCACTCACAGCTCTTGTCCCTCATGCTGCCAGTCCCAGGTAGCTTGTCCTGTCTCTGGCAACTGGGTGTGATAGGCACATCTCTCCGGGCGCTTACGGGAGGAAAACTAGCCTTTGACCCTTGAACTCACTTGATCTCCCAGATGAGTCTGATTTGGTGTGGACAGAGGGGTCAGGACTAACACGGTATGACTCCAGCATTCTTGCTAGCATCATCATACTAGGGGCCAGGGCTGGCCTTGCGTGACTTACCATGTAGACAAGGAGTAAGGTACAAGGTGGGGGTCCTGATGTGGCCCATCCTGCAGGCCATCAAGAATAAGTATGCAAGCAGCCGACTCCTGAAGATCAGCACGATCCCTCAGCTGAACTCCAAAGCCGTCAAAGACCTCGCCTCGCCTCTGCTGGGAAGGCCCTAGGCTGCTGCCACCTCGCCCTGGGAACTCTCGGCTCTGTACATAGTCCTCTGCGCTACTTCACCAACTGTCCTGAGACCCGCTTTCTAAATGTATATGGAGGAAAAATAAAGTTACCGATTTTTCTTAAGGTATCCCTTGCATTTTTATTTGTCTATTCTATATGAAGAAATCCATGTAAGGTAGATTTCACTTATAAAAAAAGTTTTGGGTTTATGAATAGCATGCAAATTATTGCCTCTGTGGCCTTAGGAAAGAGCTTCATACTCTTTTACAAAAGGGAAAGCTGGAACTAAATAATTCCTTCCCGCCTCAAAGCTGGCAAGTCCATTCCCACTCCTAGCCACCTCACACAGGGGGTTTCCTAGGCTCCCCATGGGAGTAAACCCCCTCAGCCTTTGTCCAGCAGAGTGGCTGATGGGGTTGAACCGCCAACCTTGTAGTTAGTAGTCTCCTGCCTGAGCCACAGTGCCACTAAGACCTCTTTATTCATTCCTAAACATCTAAAGTGTTAGATGGATTCATTACAAATTAAATAATGAGAAGATAAAAGTTTTTACTTCTTGAACTTCCTTGAATGCCCCCAATTCTTAAATAGAATCACTCAGTCCACTGGGGCACTGGCCACCAGAAATGACCATTGTAATGGGCTTGCTCTCAGAAGTGCAGCTGAGATTGGGAATGGCAGTGCTAGGGGGCAGGGGTGGGGCTCACTGCTGGGGCAACAAAATGACCCTGTGATATCCTCTGAAAGCTCAAATGTGGGGCTTTTCCTGCAATGCTGTTTCTGCTACATTAACCCGATCTATTGCCTTCCACTTGATTCTGGCCCAGAGACCCTGGAGGACAGACAGTAGAACTGCGTCCTGAGTTTCCAGTGCTACACATCTTCACAGAAGCAACTGCCTCATCTTCCCCTGTGGACTGGCTGGTGGGTTCTGATCTCCAACCTTATGACTAACAGCTGGTGGCTTAAACTGTGTTACCAGGCTCCCCTAGCTACATTATGGGGCCCTCTGGGCTGTTGGTACTTACACACAATTAGCATTGTTTTCTCAGGAGAAATGCTTTCTGAGGCTCTAATGTCTTTAAAAATCCAATATAAAAGTGAATCTCTTACAGCAAAAACTTCCCACTGTTAGTTCAGCAAGATATTGACATCCCCTGGGAAGAACTGATCAAATAGATTGGGAAGCATTGCAGACCTTTACAAGAGGTATAAACAACTCTGAGCGGCTTTGCGGTAACCGCAAATCCTCATTTCTGCTAGAGCTCGGTCCAACTGACTTTGACGTTGACAGTGAACCCAATAGGTGCTTTGCTTTGTGATTCAGGGATGACTTGAGTGTGTTTGCACTCATGGAGTGGGGCGCTGGTTCGGGTTGGCGGCTCACCTCCCATTTCTAGGCAGACCAGGGTTCTCACTCACTCACTCACTCACTCACTCACTCACTCACTCACTCACTCACTCACTCACTCACTCACTCACTGTCATTGAGTTGATTCTGATCATAGCAACCCATTAGGACAGGGTAAGAGAGCTGCCCTGTGGGTTTCCAAGACTAACTGTACAAGAGCGGAAAGACTTATCTTTCCCCCTCAGAACAGCGGGTGTGTTCTCACTGCCAACCTGCAGCTAGCAGCCCAACAGCATATAACTTACCCACATCACCAGGGGCCCTGGGTTAGGGCAAGTTTCTAGCAGTTAGGAGGAACTAGGTCTCATGGTGGAGGGGGTGGGGGGCATGACCTAGTAATAGCTTAAGGGTTTTATAAAATATCCTTTAAGTTGGTGAAATGAGTTCCCATGGCAGCCTAGACCAACTTCAGTTGCAAGTGTGAGTAGTTACAAAAATGAACTATGGAAGAAAGTGTATCTATATTTGAGAAGTTGTTTCTCAGAGATGCCTGAGTTCAACTTCTTACCAAGAAAGCATGGGTTTTGTGGATGTATTAAGTGGCCTGAGTCAGGAAGTTCTTCCAGGATGCTATTTAAAAAAAAAACACAAAAAAGACTACGAGATATTTTCTGATAGAAAAAGCAAGCTGAAACACGGGTATTAAGTAACGAAGCAAAGCCTGCCGGCTACTCTGAGGATGGGAAGAGTGCCATGAGACAAATAGACCCTGGGGGTGGAGGGACTTGTGGCTGGTGTTGGGAGAACATTGTGTACCCTCCAGATTGACAAGTTTGAATGAGGTGGGTGACGTGGCCTTTGACACACACAGGAGGCTTTTCATGCATGGGAAGGTGGAGGTGGAGAGAGTCTGAGCAAGAAGCATGGGAGGGAATGCTTGGAATGGCCAGGCATGTTTTACGCTCAGCTGGATCCATCATTCCTTTTTTTTGATAATAGGGAATGGGACCAAAGGTCTCATTTTTTATAATGGCTTTCTGCTGGACAGAGGCAACTGATGACTGTCCTGTCGAAGCACGGTCCGGCGAGCACTTTAGGGGCTGGAACCCAATCATATACAGCTCCGTGTAGGTTTGATTGGTGAAGGCACACATGTGCCCCCCCCCCCCCAAAGTTTTGAAAACAGCGGAATAGACAAGACCTGAAGCGCAGAATTATACATATTAAACGGAGAGGTCCCAGAGTGAATGGAGCCATGGGTCCCTTCGGGTGTTAGAGAGCTAGAGGGTATCGAGGACCATGAGGAAATTTTGAGGGGTCTTTTAATCTGATGTAAGCAGGTTGGTGGTACAAAGCAACGGCGGGTTGGGTGACATCCCAAAGGTGTGGGTTAACTAGAGAAGGTGGTGAAGGACAGGACTTGGTGGGGAGTGTCAGGACATTAGAGTTATTTGGGGCGAGATGGTGGCAGGAGAGTCTGTTGTGGCTTGTAAGAGAAGCAACACGTTTGGAGCCTGGAAAGCCCTTAGTAAATGAAAAGTTACTACTGTTCTTAATTTAGTAAGCATATCTCTGTCCAGTACTGGGATGGGACATTTTGGGATGACTAGAAATTGGTGTGAGGATTGTACATGATAAAGGCAACATAAGAGTGACTGTGTAAAGAGGGGTTGTGAGATCATACATGAGACCTCTACAATAGTGGTGGATGCTAAAGATGTTTGTCCTGAATGTTCAGGTAGTGTTCAGTAAGTGTCAAAAAGGAAAGCGATAGGCTTACCTGAGACAATGACCATTACCCAGGCTCTTGATGTGTGATCTCCATTGATCCTGGGCACGTCAATCCTCTGTGGCCAAGCCTAGAGTCCTGACAAAGAGGTGTCTTTAGCTGATTGCTCTGGAGGTGTTAGGAAAGGACTATCCTTCCCACAGTGCAATCAACTCCCCAGTGTCTTTTGTTTGCAGTGTGGGCAAGGCTTCAGCAGGGACAAGGATCGGGGCATTCCTGTGCCCAATGTCCCATCTGGGAACATTTAAAGCAGAGTCCAGGTGGCTTACCTGTTGGTGGCCCAGTGTTTATTGGTCTGGATTCACCCATATTGCCCTGAAGGGCCTTAGTCAGCATCTGATATTTAGCTTTGCCTCTTTGTAGTTTATCTAATTTCTCCTGTCCTTCCCTATTATTGAAAACTTTAAAGGCTGAATTGAGGAGGTCTCATTGTGGAGTTTGAGGGCCATCCTCAAGCCTTTTAAGCATTATCTTAACGTCAGGGCTCACTGTGAGATAAAGTACATTGGTGCCAGCTGATGTTGAGAAATCAGCCCTGGTGAACTTATGGAAAGCCTCCGAGAGGCAGCATAAAAACTGGGCAGGAATTTTTTTTTTCTTTCTCTTTTTTAACATTTTATTAGTGGCTCATACAACTGTTATCCCAATCCATACACACATCAATTGTGTAAAGCACATTTGTACATCGTTTCTCAAAACATTTTCTCTCCATTTAAACCCCCGACATTAGGTCCTCATTTTCCCCCTCCCTCCCCGCTCCCTCCTCCCGCATGAGCCCTTGATAGTTTATAAATGGGTATTTTGTCATATCTTGCCCTGTCCGACATCTCCCTTCACCCACTTTTCTGTTGTCTGTCCCCCAGGGAGGAGGTCACATATAGTTCCTTGTAATTGGTTCCCTCTTTCCTACCCACTCTCCCTTTACCCTCCCTGTTTTGCCACTCACACCACTGGTCCTATAGGGCTCATCCGTCCTGGATTCCCTGTATTTTCAGTTCCTATCTGTACCAGTGTACCTCCTCTGGTCTAGCCAGTCTTGCAAGATAGAATTCGAGTCATGGTAGTGGGAGCGGGGAGGAAACCTTTAGGAACTAGAGGAAGGTTGTATTTCTCATCATTGTTACATTGCACCCTGAATGGCTCATCTCCTCCCCAAGACCCCTCTGCAAGGGGCTCTCCAGTGGCCTACTAATGGGCTTTGGATCTCCACTCCGCACTCCCCCCATCATTCACTATGGTAAGATTTTTTGTTCTGATGATGCCTTACACCTGATCCCTTCGACACCTCGTGGTTGCATAGGCTGGTGTGCTTCTTCCATGTGGGCTTTGTTGCTTCTGAGCTAGATGGCCGCCTGTTTACCTTCAAGCTTTTAAGACCCCAGACGCTGTATCTTTTGATAGCCGGGCACCATCAGCTTTCTTCACCACATTTGCTTATTCAGGAATTTTTTTTTTTACTCCTGAAGGATTGCTCTTATTTTGTCTTAATCGACTGCTCTACTAGCCGTTTTTTGTAAGCCCTTAACGAGGTGCATGACCATGTCTTCTCAAAGAGTGTGCTCCTCATGACCCAGCTGATAATTCTAGTTGGGGTCTCGTCAGAGAACTGCACTCTCTCCCTGTCTTGTGGGGATAAAGTAATTGTAAGAATAATATAAATATTATGCCAAGTAAGATTGTATGACTGAGTGAGATATTTGAACTCTTTAATATAAGTGTCCTGGTCAGAGGAAAAGGGTCCCAGACACTTTTTGAGAACCTATAGGTCAAAAAGATAAAAAGGGATGTGTACTCTAATGAGTCCCCGCAGTTTTTGCCACCTCTCGGAGAAGGGGGAGGGGGCAGGGTCTGCAGGTAGAATGTTCAGATATATAGAAGAGGCTTCTGAGCAGGGAAGGGCTGAGCGCAAACGGGTGTGGGGTGCAGATCATGGCAGAAGAGGGGAAGGGGGGGAGGTTGTGTAGAAGATGGTGGCAGTGGGAAGGAAGATGGTGACAAAGGGGGAGGGAACGATGGGGGAGAAGATGGTGGGTCAGAGAATGGCGAGTTGGAGGAGGCGGAAGGAGCTGGTGGGGCTAAGGAGGAGAGTGGAGGAGGAGGAGGACAGTTGGAGAGGCGGAGGAGGGCTGTGGGCAGAGGAGCATGGTCGAAAGGATCAAAAGAAGATTCATTGTGAGAAGCGGCTTCTCCTGAGCCAGCAGGAGTTGGGTGGTGGAGCAGTTTGGGCATAGATGGGGGTGAGCGTGAAGGTAGAAAGAGATCTGTATATAGGGAACTTCTAGAAACTTGCTGTTATGTCAACAAAGTATCAAGGTCCGGCAGGACATTAAAATTGAGATTGCCATCTGTGGCCCTTTTGAGTTATTGCCTAATTTGTATTGAGGCCAAATCTGGTTACAAAGAATTAGGTGTTTAGGTCTAACGACTGGGTTTAGATCCAGAGGTTTAACATCAGTGAGAAGGCACCCCAGAGGCGAATTTGGGGGCAGCTTAAATTGGGTTCTTCCCATAGTGGGGCGTGAGTAAAATTTGAGCTCCCGAGAAGAATAATGGGCTCAGGGAGCAGATCCCTTGACGTGAGTATCAGATCCAGTGAAGTGAGTAGTGGGAAGCAGATCAGAAGGGCATCCCCCCTGCTGAGAGCTGTAGAGAGGTGGCAAACCTGAGACAGGGAAACTCAGGCACTTAACCCAGAATCAACTGGTGTGTGGATGCAGAGTCTATAATGGCAAGTGGAGAAGGGCCCTTAATGATACCTGTGCTGGCAGGTCTGGGAGGGGAGACTTGGTGGCCAATTGATCCAAGAGAGAGCCACTGCAGTTCTGGCACGGCATGCTCTCAATTCTGTCAACCAAGCCGAAAAGTGGGTGTCAAATCACAGGCTTTATTGGGAAGCACAGCCTGCCCGTTACTCTGAGGATGGGAAGAGTAGCCCTGGACAGATACCCTCGGGGTGGACAAATGGCTGCAGTTTGGAGCGCATCATGTATCCTTTCCGATTGGCAAGTTTGACTGAGGAGGGTGGGGCCCACGGGAGGCTTTTGGGAGAGAGGGGAGGTGTGGGGGGTGGAGAGAGTCTGTGAGCAAGAAGCGTGAGAGGGAACACTTGGAATGACCAGGTGCAGTTTTACACTCAGCTGGACCCGTCAGTTTCCTTATGTGCCTAGACAACAATTTTACCAATGAAGAATAAGATGCAAAAGTGAGAAACAATAAGACATTTTTATAGTTTAGTGGGCTGTGTATTGGGCCGTTAGCCACAAGGTCAGCAGTTCAACCCCTCTAGCAGCTCTGTGGAAGAAAGATTAGGCTTTCTACTCCCATAAAGATTTACAGCCTCAGAGCGCAGAGGGGCACATCCACTCTGTCCTATAGGTTTGTTATGAGTCAGACTCAATGGCAGCGAGTTTCTATCTTTAAAAATTTTAATAAAGCTATGATTTTTTTTAAAGCAATACTTTTTGACTCATCCTCAGGTTTGGCTCAGTCCATTGACCTACACTGCCCTTGAGTCATTTCTGACTCAGTGAGCCTATAGGACAGGGTAGAGCTGCCCCTTTGGGTTTCCGAGACTCACACCTAACAACACCGGATACTGTCTCCTTATCGTGATCGGGTCACAAGATGGAGTTGAAATACGGAAACTACTATCTTAGTCTCTGTTCTTAAAGTGGAAAACACAGGAGACTTAAAATGGCTTCTTTGTTTCAAAGTCCTATGAATATATTTGTTGCCATTCTATATAATCTGATCATCCCCCACCCGCCTCAGGGGATGGGGTTACTGATATAGGTGTGCTTCGGCCAAATCCTCATTCCCCAGAGAGCATAGTGGCAGCTTGGAGGAGGAGAGACCTTCCACCCACTGAGGCAGTCCGTTGTTCCTAGCTTTTTGGTCAAAACGGCAGTAAACACAATGGAGAATGAGGCGGTTCGTGGATTCCTTTATTTATTCAGGTGGAAGGGACCCAGATGGAGATTACTCATGAGGCAATGGTGAGAAGGGCTTGCTGGCCCGAGCTAGAAAGCGGTAACACTGATTCTATAGTTGAATGGGACTAGTGCATATTTGTAAGTACCTGGTGGGAATCTTGTAATAAAACTTACCCTATGTGTAAGTACAGTGGATTACTACTTAGTACATTCATACATGTTTCTACCATCTCGAGATTTTTGTATATACAGTATATGATCTGTTTTTATAAATGTACAGCTTGGAAGAAAAAAAAGATCCTTAGGTATAGCATTAACAAAAACCAACATGGCCAGCCACATCCCAATAGAAAATCCAGAGACATAAGGCCGGCAGCCCAACCAAGTATAAACCAGCACCCTCGGAGGCGGCAGGCCGTGCTCACCTCTGGCCTGCGCGTCCACTTACTGAGCCCAGCCTGCACAGTGCCGCCCTCCCCAAAGCAGGCAGCAGAGAGGAATGTATGTGTCAAGTATGGAAAAGGGAAAAAAAAGTGCTCTTCAACTAAAGGCACTTGTCAGCGGCCACCTGCAGCCCTCTCCTGGGCCTGGTGAGAGGGTCAACAGGCTGGACCGGTTCACCCCCTCGCCAGGTTTAAATACAATAAATAAATCTTGGTGGGTGGTGGCTTTGCCCTCTTGGGTTCCAATGAAGAGTTGACCTTTTAGGACATGGGGGAACACCCGGTGTCGACTAGCTCCAGGCCTTGCTCGCTGTGATGTCCCCTCCGTCTATCTGTGCCTGGCCCTTCACCCAGTGCAGCAGTGTCTCTCAGATCTTGGTCACGTAGTTGTTGGGGAACAAGCCCTGCTTGCCTCGTAACCGGCCGGTCCACCAGCCCGAAGGATCTGCGGGAGGGAAAGATGGAGAATGGGGGGGGAGGGTTTAGGCTGCTCAGCTCTAGCCCAGGGGTTTATCCCGCAGGCAAAAGGGATCTGGCTTTTTTCCCACTTTGATAATTTCCTTATTCCCACCCCCACCCGGACTTGTTGATAATGTCGTTTTACTATAAATGAAAACGTTTGTTTGAGGTACAAAGGAACCCTTTCCCCACTGCAGCCCGGGGTGAGTCATTCAGAGGTCTTCCAGGAAGGCCCTGCTGAGAAGAAGGGTGGCTGAGCTACAGGCTTGGGACTAGTGACTGCCAGGCTGGCAACCCAATCTGTCAGGACCTCAGCCATGGCCATTGGTAGCTGCCCTGCCTCTTGGCATTCTCTACTAACAACGACCATGTGACAGAGTAGAACTGTCCCCAAGGGTTTCTAGGCTGTAACCATTACAGAAGCACAGCTCTGCGCCTTCCCCTCACAGGGCCACTGGGTGGATTTGAACTGCCAGCCTTTTGGTTAGCATTTACTCTCCTTGCAAACCTTTCTGCCACTTATCTCAGTGTCTGTCCCTGGGCCTATCACGTCGGCAGCGCTCAACTTTATATCCCTTCACCTGAAATCCTGAATCCTCCTTCCTTACACAGAAAATAGGCCCTTCTGTACTTCACTATGCTGTCATTGTAGAAATCCTCCTCTATGCTGGTATTATTCGAGAAAACAACCCCCCCAGCATTTTACATTTCATTTTAAAAAATTTAAATATCTGATCTATTCGGAACTTAATGTAAAGGGTGACATATGAACCCAAAGTAAGTATTTTGGCATAGGGATTTGAAAAACTTCTTAAAATAATGCTACATTCCTCCCTACCCCCCAAAGTTGATTTCAAAGGTTCACAGTGTGGGAAGTATTCCATAAGTCACTTGGTGAGTGACAAACATTGACTGGAGCAGATGTGAATTTGTTACGGTGTGTCTGCCCACTGAGTGTGGACCCTCACACACTGCTCAGGTGGTATCTGAGTGAGTTAGCTAGTGACAAGTCCCCCTGGGACCTGCGGGGCATTACGTAATGTATGATGCAGACCCTGATCTGAACTTCCCAAACAGCTCCCGACTCCAAGGGCTCGGTCCAGAGGAGGAAGCCCATCTCACAGTTTATTCTCTGCCGGTGTCAGAGTAGGTGAGATGCTGGACTGATTACTAGACAGGCCCTGCAGGTCTTGCCTTCCCCAGCCTTTCCCCACTTCTCGACTGACGTGTCAGTCTTATTACTCCAGGTAAAGAAAGGGCTAATGCTACGTGGAAAATATTTTCTCCTGTCGGTTCTCTAGCATTTACCTCTGATCCTGATGCTTCTCACCTGCAGTGGGGTTTGAGTGTGCTTTTTACTGAGGTGCACTCCTATCTAGTTTGGGGGTTTTAAGTTTGCACTGGAAGGCTTTTCCCCTCCAGAGATGAATATACGACTAGTGAGTTTTAGATCTGTAGCTATCTGACATTTATGAATGAGGTAGAGGATCAACTTTATTTCCTTTTCAAGATGGGCAGTCATTTTCTTTCCTTTCTCCATGGATTTCACGCGTCACCTTTATCATCTGCTATCTTTCTGCCTGATTCTTGCTTATCCCTGCAGGTGCACACACATCAGAAGTGAACATTAATATTCACTTGAGAGTTAAGTGCAGGTACAATGAATGCTGTGTAACCAGCACTGGATCTAGTTCCAGATCCATCTTTTTATCACCTCAAACGGGAACGCTACACCCTATTATTTTTCATGGTTTAAAAAAAATTCACACCAAAGTTCACGGAATAACTATAGCAAGCTTATTTAGCCAATCCCACTATTGGGTCTTGTTTGGACTGAGCTGAAGCAGGTCAGGGCCCTGCTTCCCTTTTCGTCCTCAGAGGTCAGCAGCTCCCCCCAAAGAGGGGACCGAAAAACAATGCCTGACTCCCTGATGCTAAGTGGTCAGCCTGCCTGCAGGAACGGATAAACTACATGCTGAATCACAAATCCTGCTGCTGCAGCAGGAGCCCTCTCTCCCCACTTTCCTTTAAAAACCCCAGACAAAGTCCGCCATCTCCCTGGGCTACTTGCTAGACCACGGACTTTGCCTGGCTGCTCTGCCTCTGACTTCACCTATTCTATCCTGACTTTGTTCTTGTCCTGTGTCTCAGTTTACCTCTCAGGTCTCCTAATATTTTCACTGAACAAGGCTGGTGATAAAAAACCTCTGCTTACCAAAGTTGATTTTTAACAAATTTTCCCCTACACCTTTGAAGAAGGACGTTAAGGAGATAAAAGTAAGGCTCAAGGCCCTTAAGATGGGCTCTAGAATGCTCCCTGGGGAAATCACACCCGCCACAGCACCTGTGAGAAGCACAATTCCAGGCCTTGTCCTGGGCCATCTTTGTTCAGAGAAAATGTTTGTTGTGTGCAATAGACCCAGGAGAACACACAACACTTCCACAGTTTCTATGTGTCCAGTCCACTGGCACAAATTACATTCTTCAAATTGAAGTACGAGGGTGGTATATGGCTATGAGTCATAACTAAGGGGACCAGATTTTAACACTGGCAAAGCAGGACACCACTGATAAAACTCATATCCTGGTGAAATAGCCACACGGCAGCCGTAAACCCTAGCTTGTCGTGCGCTCTTTCCATAAATGGGGACTTTTTAAAAACGCCACAGGACATGGGAAAAATTGTTAAAAAGCGGGACAGTCCTGATTTTTGGAAAGAATGCACGACAAGCTAGGGAACGGTAAATTTGGTCCATATAGATCAAATTTTTAATCAAGAACACCCCCCCACCCTCCCCCCGCCAATAGTGTCCCACTTTAAATCTGGTCACCTTACTAACCTGACAAGATGGTTGGGGCCCCCAAAACAAGCCCTCTGAGCTTTTCCATCTGCATTGGTGTCGGCATCCCAATCACGAGTCCTTTCGGACTCTGGTCCCTCCCATGACTGATGGATTGATCTGACACCAAGCATGGTTTTGAGACCCATTTCTTTTGTTTTCCAACTTCAATAATGACTTTAGGACCTCATATTGATAGTTTGTCCCATTTAAGATTTAATAAAGGGGCCTCTATAAAATACATATTCAGATAGGGTCTCCCCCACCTCACGAACAATTCCACTTACCTTCATTGTATGGAGGTCATGAAGTTTAGGGAGGGGGGGGCAGGCCCATCCCCTTTTATGAGAGTGGAATCTAGGGACTTTGTCCAATGATCAAAAGGGACAATATCAGACATGCTTTAATTGATTGGTCTGTAATTGCTGCAGCCATTTTGTTACCACAAGGCAACCAAGTATGAAGAGTATAAAAAAGCAACAGCTATAAACCAGATACCAAACTCACTGCTATCTTGCTGACTCTGACTTCCATGGCCCTAAATGATAGTTAACTGTCCTTTACGGAATTTCCAAGCCTCATCCTCCCAAAGAGGAACGGTTGGCTTTGAACCACTGACCTTGCAATTAGCAGCTCAACGCAGAGCCCAGGGCTCATTAGAAGCACGAAAAAAAATGAAGCTGGATCAGACTGAGCCTGCCACTGTGAGTTTCAGTTAGAGGAGCGCATACATCCTCTTGTGCTAGAAGAGTTTTTAATAGCAAAGCGACTAACCTATGCTTTTTTTTTTTGGGGGGGGGTCTCCATTAGCTAGCCATGTGCTTACCTTCTTTGATAACATCAATAATGTCATTGGCATTGAAGCTGAGTTCATCTGTGTCCTGAGCATCATAGGCGTAGAGAGCCTTGCACTGGGGCACCTGAGGCTTGGGTTTGGGCTGGGGTTTCGGTCTGCCCCCTGCTGGGGGAGGTCGACTGGTGGTTTGTCTCCGCACACTGTGGAGAGAAAGGGGACCAATGAGAGGCAGTAAGCACAGAGTAGTATTCAGGAGAATGAGGCCCCAATTCTGCTCAAATTCCAGCTCAGCTCTGCTTTGGAAGCCAGCAAGCAGCCTCAGGTTCACTCCCTATATTTTCTCTAAGCATACAAATACGCTCCTTGGCAAGACCATTGCAAATGCACTTATCATTAGCTGTCAATTCTAACTCAGTGACCTCCTAAGGAACGTTGCTCTGAGGTGCCAGCAAGTCTACATAGCACAGAGACCCCATGTGACAAGAGTCACATAGGACTGGCTCAGTGGGGTTTCCTGGCCGCAAATCTTACAGATCCTGTAAGAGTTACAAATCCTGCAGATTGCCAGGACTTTCTGTGGTGGAACCACTGGGTGGGTTTGAATGCCAACCTTCTGGTTAGTAGCCGAGCGCTTAATCACCGCACCACCAAGACTCCTTTAACAAACGTAATTGCCAGTATGATGGTCATTTCCACACAAGGAAGAGGTAGAAAAGACACATAGCCACAGAAAAGTTTACAAACCGTACACCGCCCCCATGATTTTAAAACCTTCGTGGAAAATGCATATTTTCCTATGCAGGGGATTTCACGTGTTTTTTTTTAAGGATAAAAATAAACTCATACTATCTTTTTTTTATCTGAGGCAGTGAGTGAGACAGTGAGAGTGAGCGTGAGACAGTGAGGCAGAGAATCAGACAGTGAGTGAGTGAGGCAGTGAGAGTGAGAATGAGACGCAGTGAGTGAGGCAGTGAGAGAGTCACTAACTTTCTATAACATGTCTGAACAGATCTAGTTTGAGGTATGAAGGAAGACAGGACATCAGTTTGAAAAGAACCCCTTATTATAGCCACATCAGTTCTGCTAAACTTTTAGGTAAGAACAAACATAAAAACTTATGGCTAGTTTTGGGTGGAAGAAATGTGAAACCACTGATACTTTATGAAAAGTTTATGGGTATAATTCCCCAAAGAGATCAGCGGTTTACAAGCAGATTACTTATTTTAAGAAGGAATGAGACCATGTGGAAAATGAGGCCCACAGCCCAGGCCCACACCAATTTTCAAGGAAAAAAAGTCTCCTTGTTTAAGCTTTAATTAAGGGGACACCAATGATTAACAGTAGAAACATCCAGTCAACACCATAGACATCTCAACTGATTCAGCACACACAATTCTGACTGAGTTAAGCAAACTTTCTGCTCTGAGTCCCCAAACAGTTATGCCCAGATCAGTGCGCATAAGAGCAGAGTTTTCAATGGAAATTTTAAACAAGTGGGAACAAGAGCCTGAAGTATTTCTTGGAGAAACTGTAACAGGACAGGAGCCATGCTTTATCAGCATGTTCCTGAAAACAGCACCATCAGAGCAATTGCTATCAAGATGTAGAAGTGGTCAGGTCAAGGGCACAATTCGTGGAAACAGTTTTCCGAGAGCCTTAAGGCATTTTACTTGTTGGTTTTCTGCGGGGCCAAAGAACAATGGCAGCTGTTTATTATGAGGCTGTCTGGAGAAAGCGAGCTAAAGCTTTAGTAGAAACTGTATAGGGAAGCTTCACCAGAGTCGGTCCTTCTCTGGCTCATTCCTCTCATTACACGAGGGTGACTTTGTGAGAGTTTTGATGGAAATCATGAGGCATCAACGTCACGGTCCTGATTTGGTTCCTTCTGACTCTTTGCTTCTGAAACTCAATTTAAATGGTCATGGTCCCCCCCCAAGTTTGGAAATGGAGCTTTTTCTGATGGCAGAGAAGCCTGAGCTTGCCCCTCCCCCTAGCGATCTCTCCAGAAGCATCCGCCACCCTTTGTGTGCTAGTGTCTCCTGCTTTTCCCCGGTTTTACCACATGTGTAAAGATTCCTTTTTTCTTTTCTCTTTAAGTACTTTCACTGGGGGCTCTTACATCTCTCATTACAATCCACACAATCATCCATGATGTCAAGCACATTTGAACATATGCGGCTATCATCATTTTCAAGGCATTTTCTTTCTACTTGGGCCCTTGGTATCAGCTCCTCATGTTTCTCCCTCCCTCCCTCGTGAGCCCTTGATAAGTTATAGATTATTATTTTCATATCTTAAAGCATTGGTGTAAATATCCTTGACCAGGATATTAGTTTGCTGTCTTTTAAAAACTATGCCAAAGGAATCGTCCCCTGTCAGGGTTTCTTTTTCTTTCATTTAAAAAAATCATTTTCTTGAGGGCTTGTATAACTCTTAATCACAATCCACACATTCATCCATTGTGTGTCAAGCACATTTGTAGCCCCCATCATTCTCAAAACATTTGCTTTCCACTTGAGCCCTTGGCCCACTCAGGGTTTCCGGTGTGAACCTGTGTCGATGCAGGTAGTTCAAACTACCTGTATGCAATGCCTCAAACTATTCCACTTCAGGAAGGAATGTCACAATTTGCTGATCCAGTACACTGCTGATGGCCATTTGGGTGGAATCCCAGCTTTTGACTATTGTGACAAAACGCTGCTGGAATAGAATGTTTACCTAGAGCAGACCCCCGCCCCCTTCCAATCATGCTAGGGTAGGAGAGAGCGCTGTTGGGGAGGCTGTCCTGTGCTTTGCTGGCTGGTTAGTAGCACCTCTAGGTTTCCCCACTAGATGTCAGTGGCATCCCCTAACTCAGGCCAGACAGTCAAAAAGTCTTCAAACTAGAACCCTAACAGGTCTCTGACTTTACATTTAATCTTTGCACCCTCTTCCTAGTTAACCTACTGGCGGCCACCAGGGACCCTCTAAACATTGTCGCCAAGGCACACCACTGTACCTGGAGCCCTTTACACGCCGATCTCAAACAATCACTGAGTATCTGCATGACCTTCATTTAACAAGAACAACACAGAAACACAGGCCCTCTTGTCCACCCGTCTCCCGGCGGAACAACCAACCAGAGGAGAGCACCGCTCAGGTGCTAACAAAGGCATCTCAACTTCAGCTGTGATCCAAGTTAACAGGCTGGCTCTGGGGTCCCTAAAACTTCCAAGAGGAAGGAAGGAAAGGCAGGGTCTTTCCTGGGGCCTGAATTCTGGCAGGAAAAAGCACACCCAGCGTGAGCTGTGCTCACCGGGGCGTGGTCCTGCACCCCATTCAAAGCCTGCCCAGCCGGCAGTACCAGTATGTAGGCAGAGATGTGGACCAAGATGCTGGTGAACAAGTCAGAAGAAGAGTGGGGAGCTGGGGCAGCACCCTCCCAGGCAGGGGCTAGAGTCCTTGGGGGCAACCTGGGCGCCTCCTGCATAGAAGGCAGCCGTCCAAGGTCCCTCAAGCTTGCTCCTTTCAGTGACCCCCCCCCCCCTTTTATCTAAGAAAAGGCGTTTTATAGGCCATTACCATGACATAATTTCCTGTGCAGTGTCTATTAGAAATACTCTCAGTGCTGGAGAAGCGCTTTCTTTTTTTGAAAGCTGGCCGGGCAAGCTCACTTTTAATTAAGCAACGTACCTATCAGGGATGTGTCAGAGTTTGGTTAATAATTTCTCCTGATTTCTCAGCAACCAGGAAGTGACAGGAGAAGGTGGAGGTGCGGGCGAATCAGAACACCCAGGAGGCAGGGTGGCCTCTAGCTTGGAAGGTTAGCCTTCCGTTAGTTCAGGGGTGGTGCAAATAACCGAAGAACTTGATTGCTAATCACAACGCGGAGGGTCTAGTCTACCCAGAGGTGCCTCAGAAGAAAGGCCTGGCCATCTACTTGTGGAAATCAGCCTGGAAAAGCCAGTTCTCATGGACACACATGTCATGGCTGTGAGTCTCATCTACTCAACAGCAGCTGGTTTGGCTTATGTCCTGAGGGGGAGTGGAGGGTGGGAGGGAAGCCGATTGTTACTGGCACAGGATGGGGGTCTCTGGAACCCCAAAGAGTGAGAAACCAGACACTCACAAGCCCCCTCAAGGGTGTGACAAGGCCTCTCAGTGGGAAGAAGAGAATGACAAAAATCTTCCCGTCTTCCATGCCACTCAGGCAGCCGTCCTAGGAGTCATGCCCCATCCCCCCGGCTCTGACCAGCACCTGCTTCCATCCCGCGCTCCTGGACCCCCATCCCTCTACCTTAGATGGGAGCGGCTAACCACAAGGTGGGCGTTTACTGGCAAGAGACATAAAACCAGGGCAGACCAAGAATACTTGCTCCCACCATGTGGGTCTCCTCAGAGAAAGGCGGGACAGGCGTCCAGACCAGAAGAGAAAAAGTGAAACCCTTGGAAGATGAGATGCTCTGGCCCATAGAAACTATTAACGAGTACACAGAGGTCCTATCCGCACTAACACCCAAGTTCAGCAGGCCCATAGGGTACAAGATCCATGCACACAATCTAACTTCCTTGCTCTTCCAATGAACCATCCGAAAATGCGATTAAAACAACTTGAGCCTCGAACTACCTTCCTATCGGGCTGCAACCATTGTCATCTTGGATCGAGCTCCATCGGTGGCCAGGTGACCACCCTAATGATGTGACTTGAACAAGTATCTCTTACTGGTTCCGTGACAGAAATGTCTTCCCTGGCTTTTTGAATGGTGTTGGGGTATTTTCCTTCTTAGGCATTAACATGTGAGTTTGTCTGTACGCGATTATGTTCTTACCTTTACCACCTTCGCACGAGTTTTTTGTTTTCTCTGGGTCTCAGCTGTGAAGCACAGGACGATGGATGCATAATGATAATAACTGATACCAGGGTTACAGGGAGTACAGGGGTGGGGAGGGTGGATGATAGGGATTTCAGGAGTAAATAATGAAGATGGGAGGGGGGAAGGAGCATTAAAACATTGTGATAGCATAACTTATTTCAAAAGTGATTTCACCATGGGGCATGGGCTGCTCTAAAATGGATGTGGTGGTGATTGTACAATTCTCCGTGTTATGACTGAATGATTGAACTACTGAATTATATGTAAATTACTTGGTAGAAAGGCTCAAATGGCCTTAAAATGCAAAACCATCCAAACACACAAGCCTGACTGTCTCTTTCACGTCA